GCACTTTCGACCCGTCAATCCGGGCGCCATCCGGGCGCGGCCGGGCGAAACGTGGGCCGACGGCAAGCGCGTCGGGGAGTCGGTCGCGCGAGCGCCGCATTCGGGCACGCCGCGGCGGTGGCGGCGGCAGTAGCGGGCATCGGCGCAGTGGCGGCGGTGCTGGCCGCTGTCGCGCGCGCGGTAGGTGGCGCCTGGGGCCAGCAGCGGCAGTCGGGGCACCTGTGGCGTCCGCGTTTGCTGAGGAGGGAGAGGAAGGAAGGTGGCTGGGTCAGGCGTCACTGCGGGCAGTCGCAGTCGCTGCCAGGAAAGCCATCATGTCAGAGGTGTCGGTAATGTCGCGCCAAGCGGCGTTGGCGGTGATGGCGGCGTTAGCTGCGGTGATGATGCCGACGGTTGAAGTGTCTCCGTTGGGGTCGCTGGCAGAGGCGGGGGTGCCGGCGTGGCCATCGGCGCGGGAAGGGTCCGTTCGGGAACGGCCTACAGGGGGGTGTTAACAGTGGCGCTGAATGGCGGTCGCCGCGGCAACGAACTCGACAGTGGTGATGCACGTTGCGGCGACAGGCAACGATGTTGGCTGCGTTGGAGGCGCTGCCGCTCGCGAAACGCCTGCAGAATGGCACAGCGTCGGAGGGGGGCGAGCGCGTCCCCAAGAAGGCCCCTGATAGCCCAAGGGGGCCTCCAACATGGCACTGGGTAGCCCAGGAAGGGACAACACATGGCCCAACGCGCGCCCAAGAACCCCGAAGACAGCCCCAGGGCGGCCCCGGCCGGCCACGGAGTCTCCCAAGGCGCCCCTCGCCAACCCCATATACTTCATACACTCACACAGGGTCGACGATGATTGCCTTTTCGCTTTCTCGCCCGCTCGGTTTTGATGAGGTTTAGACAAGGCTCCAATAATGCCCATAAGAAAACTTTTGGAAGGCCCGCGAAAGACCACGGGTGGCCCGAACCGCGCCCGCGGGGCCCACGACGGCCCCATTTACTTGCTGAAGCACTGGTTTTTGTCCCCTCATTGACCCCCCCTGCCGCCTGACCCTCCCCCGATATCTCCACCCCTCCGCCTTTTACCGAACCGTGCGCCGCGCTAGGCCGATCTAACTCGTGGGCCGCCGTGGGCCCTGACACAAGACTTCCTGAACCCGGAAAGGCACCCTGGGGCCCTGGGGGGCCGTTTAGCCTGGAACCCTGAAGCCCCTGAGACACAGCCCATGTCGGCAGACCCGTCACGCGGGGCGCATGCGCGCGGGTCGCCCCCACGCGGTGCGCGCAGGCAGCGAAGCCGCAACCGGGTCTTCCATAAGTCGAGGAGGGGCACTGGCAGCAGCAAGAAAGGGGGGGGAGCAGCAAGGAGAGGCCCGATATGTGGAGACGCCACAGGCAGTGAAGAGAGGGCGGCCGCCATGGCAACGGCAGGCGCGAGGCGGAAACAAGCTGGGGCCCGACCCTCCCTTCCGACATCTCCTCTGCCCGTTACCGTTGGCCCCCCGGTTCCCGCCCCTTCCCTCCCCCCCCCGCTCCGTGCGCCCGTTCCTGCGCGCTCTTCCTCCCCATCGTTTTCCCTCCCTTTCTCGTGGTCAGATGCGAGCAGAATTTCTGTGAACGGAATCAAACAAGCGGCGACGACGACGGCGGCGCCCCCCCCCCCGCCCCTCTCCTCGCAATCCCCCCCCCCGCCCCGCCTGCCCCGAACAATTCCTTCCCTGGCCCCCCCCGCAAATCCATCATCTCCCCCCCCGACTCGTCCTCCGTCTCCTCCTCTGAGCACCCCTCCTCACCCCCATGACCCTCCGCTTCTGGCAATGTATATATCATGGTCTCACCCCCATGATCCTCCCCGTCTGGCAATTTTCGTCCGCATCTATTCCCTTTCCTCCTCCTCCTCGCCCGCGACGCGCGTTCAAGGTGCCTCGCGATTGGGGGCCGCGCAACAACGCTCTGGCGCGCGGGGCGCGAGAAATGCCGAGCGCACCGAATGCGCCAGATACACCAACTGCGCGAAGTACGCCAGGTGCTGCTCTGGCCGCGCCAGGTTCGCCAAATGCGCCCGGTTCGCCACTTGCCGCAGGAATGGCAGGCGCGCCACACGCGCAGGTGCGCAAGGCACTGAACGGCCTAACTAGACGCGAAGCAAAGGCCCCGCAAATAACGGGCCAAATAATAGACATAACACTCTCGCGGCCCCGAAAACCACCACGAGCCATCCATCTAGACCCAACCGAGCCATCGTCCGGCAACGAATCAACGCTCCACGTCAATCGCAAGAAGCGATCGACCACGACCGACCCTTGAGAACGACGGCTAGCAAAACACTGCAACACTTCACCACGAACAACGCACATGCTTATCCAGACAGGACGCACGTCACACCACGCGAACATCTCCTCTGCATGTCGCTACATCCACGGGCGAAAGCAACGCCAAACCACGAAAACAAACGCATTCGGGCACAATCCGCTCGGGACTTGGACCCGTTCGCCCACGAGAAGGTGGCCGATTGATGAAGGCCCTTGACAACAGTAAATTGCGTTCTTCGCAAACGTGCGTAGATGAAGTTCGCAATGTTTTATCGCCCGTGCTAAATATTTGCGTTCAGATCAAATTGGTTGTGTTTACCGAGCGTGGCCGTCTGATATACAACATGTCGCACACGTATTGTACATATTTTGACCCAGAGACCATCGCGTATGCCATGGAGTTTTAGATTCCGCACCCAGGAGTCAAAGTAACATGAAAACCGGCATCTGCCGTCGACGGCAACCCAAGCGGCGCTTCAAGAGTTGTCTGGCAGCAGTCGAGAAAACCGTACGTAACATGTTCTTAATACCGTACGTGTTGCCTCACCTTGGGTTTTGCGTATGCCCTAACTCTTGACGGTAATCCGCCGACACAGTCGGCGTGTGCGAGGACCTTCGACGCGAGGCCAGCCCAACCCAAACTGTTTTTTACGCCAGACTCTTTTGAATCGTCATCGTCGTAAAAAGGGGATCGAACACTGTTGTCATTACGTCAAAGGAAAACTCCTTCCATTCGGCGCTTCCCCGCTGGGGCGGGGGGCGTCCGGGGGGGTTCCCAGGGGATGGTTCCGGGGGGTGTTCCTGGTGGGGGTCCCGGGGCGGGCCCCGGGGGTGGCGACCCTTCCCCCGCTGGAGGCGTTCCCCGTGAGGTTTCGCCTCTCAGACGCCCGCCCCCCAGGAGACAGACGGCTCTTCTTCTCCTCCTCCTCCCTCCTCCCTCCTCCTCCTCCTCTCCTCCCTCCTCCTCCTCCTCCTCCTCCTCATCCTCCTCTCCTCCCTCCTCCTCCTCCCTCCTCCTCTCCTCTCCTCCTCCTCCTCCTCCTCCTCCTCCTCCTCCCTCCTCTCCTCCTCCTCCTCCTCCCTCCTCCTCCTCCCCTCCCCCTCCCCCTCCCCCTCCCCCTCCTCTTCCGCCTCCTCGTCCTCCGCACCATGTCCCGAGCCTGTGGCAGGGTCATCAGCTCGTCGTTGTCGTTGTGTGGTGGTGGTCGTCGTCTTTCTGGGTCGGCGGCACCAGCCGTAAGGCCAACACAATAATGAACCGTGCCCAAACACAGCTGCTGGGACTGCAACGCCGCGAATCAACGTGACTGTTGCGTCCTGACCATCATGAGTCGCGCCAGAACATCATTCCTGAGACTCCAGCACCGCGAATACATGTGGCTGTTGCGTCTTGACAATCCTAAATCGCGCCAGAACGCAACTCACCCTTGAAACAGTCGCATGTTCTTGAAACACATGCGCGCGGCGCTAAGGCGAGAGCCACATCGAAGAGGAGCCGGCCTCCTTCCTTGAATATGTTGCAAGCTTTGAGACGAAGGTGCGCGACGCTATGGCGGCAGCTCCAGTTTGAAAACGAACCGACCTCCATCCTTCAAGCTGTTACAAACTTCGAGCGTCAAGTCCATAAGCAGTGAGGACATCTCAAGCAAAACGCGCTTGGCCCAGCTTACGGGCACGTCTAAGGGTGCGACAGGGAGCAGGCATTCACAAGGAAAAGCGATGGAGGGAGGAGGGGGGAGAGAGAGGTGGAGTAGCGACTTCAAATGACTGCGTTCCAGATGGCCCATGTTGGAGTCAACGTCGAAATTCCCCCGCCCCCTCCTCCCGACCCCTCGGCTGACCCTCCTCCGCAAGCAGACCCGACCTCGTTTTTGCTCCGGCCAGCGCCGGCCTCCACCGCGGGCGAGGATACCAAATAGGCACTCCTGTCAGTCCGTCGGTCAAAGCCATACGCCTGAGCGCGTGGGCGGAAAAAGACGGTGCCTGCATTTGCTCTCCGCTTTGCGGGAGCAGCGGCGCTCCATCCGACTCTTCATCTCCAGCGTGTGTAGCTGGAGAAGGGGAAAAACGGGAAAAAGCGGGCAGGGCGGCATCACGTGTCTTCAACAGGCGGGCTGTGTATACGTACCTCTGGAAGGCCCTCCTTTAGGGAGCCACGAGGGAGAGTACGCGCCCATCCACATATGCGAAGATGCCCTCCAGTTCGTGAAGCCGCCCTCATGTCACGAACGCTCGCGTAATGTCCTATCTCGAATACCATGTGCATTCATCCAAGAGGAAGTCTTTGTTCCGCTACTGGTTCTTGGAGCACCCCTTTCGTGCTAAAGCTCGCTGTTCTGTCCCCTCGCGCGTGGACGCAGAATGCCCCTTACAAAACACACAAATGCCATGAGGGAAGGGAGTCCCGAAGAAGACTTGTCCTGGATACCACAGGGCTTTCCCCCATCCGCTAAGCAAGGGCTTCGAGACGCCAAAAACAGTCGACACTCTCAGGACCGAGGCCGACGACGAGGACGAGGACGAGGACGAGGACGAGAACGGCAAGCAAGACGGGCACGACTGCGGCAGCGCCCCACTTTGCACACCTGGTAGGTGGTGCTGGGTTTCGGGCTGGAGCGCCTACGACAGCCTGAAATGGCTCACCGAACGGAGTCTGCGCGCTGCAAAGAGCGGTCAGAAGTCCTAGGCCGCGCCGACGTAAAGTCAACCAGATGCTCCTTGCCTGCTGAGATGCTTAAGCTCACTCTGGCCTGCGAGCGAGCCGCGACCCCTAAGACCCAGGCAGAAGGGAAAACGGGCCCCTGATGGCAGCGCCCGGACGCCTTTGCGGGCGGGCGCGCGCAAGGCGACGACGCTGCAGTGCAGAGTGGAGGAGGAGGAGGAGGAGGAGGAGGAGGAGGAGGAGGAGGAGGAGGAGACGACGGGGAGGCGATTAAGGCTCCCGTCAGTGGCAACATCTGTGCTCTGGGCTTCACATAACACAATTCAAAGCACAGTCGCGGCGGAAGGGGGGGAGGACGAGGAGGAGGAAACAGGAGAGAACCGGGAGACGGAGACGACGAGTACGACGATGACGACGAGCACGGCGAGCACGACGACGTCGAGAACAACGACGACAGTCATCTTGCGAACATGTCATTAAACAAGCAGCGTTGGCCTTGACTTGTTTTCCTCCCGCCCTTAAATCCATAGGCCAGCCCCATTTTGGGAGGCTTCTATTCATACCTGCTCCTGGGAGAAGCACTCAGCATAGAACACCTTTCCCTAGCGATCGGGGGCTTCTGTGGCCATGGCGTCTCGGAGTAAATTGTAAGGACATGTCGAAAGGAAAAGTTGTCGTTGCGGGCCTTTGCAAATTTATCTGGATGGCGAGGAAGTCTCGGGCAAGAGCGCCAATTCTGAGTTCGGGGGCCTCTCTGACCAGGGCGTCTCCGAGGAAATTGTGCAGGAGCCGTTGTCGTCGTAGGTGGGCCGTCAAGGGCCACGATTGGGACCCAAGCCCGCGCACGAGCGGGGACTTCGCTTTCAAAAGAAATGTTGCCGGCGTCGAGGCGAGAGCGCCCAGCACCGCCTCCATGTATCAACAACAGCTGCTCTCTCGAAGTGAACATTCGACGACGACGACGACGACGACGACGACGACGACGACGACAGCGACGAGGACGGCGACGACGACGACCAACGATACCTGTTCTCTGGAAGTGAGGATACGTCGACGACGGCGGCGGCGGCGGCGACGCCTTCAGGACCCCGTGGTCTCCGCGGCGAGCAGACTGCGCGTGGGCCGACGCCCTGGCGGCGCGCGGCACATCGCTGGCCCTGCACCGGCGCGGCTCATCAGGAGCAGGTGGCGAAGTTCTTGTCCCAGCCGGTGCCTCGCGGGGCCGCGCGCGCGCCCCCGTCGGGAGCCGACGGCCGCACGCCCCCGTGGGGCGAGGCCGGCGGGGTGGCAGGGAGGACAGGGACACGGAGGAGGCCGTTGGGGATCTGAGCGTCAAGCGCAACATCCTTGGCTGACCCCTGGGTGAGGTACAGTGCGGGCGCGGCCGCAAGAAACCCTCGCAAGAAACCCAACCCTGAGAACCCGCGCGCGAGGTGCACCGGAGGGGAAGCCTGGAGCACCCCGAACGCAGCAGCTCCTTCAACGGCCGCGGAAGTCGCCGCGCAGCGCGAGGAGCAAAGAAGCCCAGGATGCCCTGACGAAAACCAGATGGTTTCTTGATGCGCGCCCCCACTGCATGGATGCAGGCCAGAGCCTCTGGTCGGAGGGCGCCAACTAGGCACCTGGACCGATCCCGGCTTGGCCAGGATCGGTGTTGGTGCACAGTTGGCGCCCGCCGATCTGGCTCGGGGTGCTGCCTGGGACGGGCCCTCCCCCAGTCTCTCTGTCCCAGTGGGGGGGGGAGGTCGGCCCCGCCTGGCGGGAGCCCCCGCGGAGGGGGAGGGCTTGGCCCGAGCGCAGGGCACATGCCCGATGCTGGGCCATGCCAGTCTGGCCTCAGGCGAGTTTGTGGGCTGACCGCGCAGCTGCGCGCACGTTCTTCTTCTCAGCTAGGGCCGGACTTGATTGGACAGGACACGCGAGCAGACACAAGACCCTTCCGAGGGCCACTTAGCGATAGGAATCTAGGAAGCATGGATCGCGAGACACAGGACACAAGAGTACCCTCGATTTGGCAGGGTCGACCTACTACTCAGGGCCGACTTTACGAGCCCAGCACATCAGGCTCAGGCAGCCTGGCACCACCGAGAGGCGTCAGGTCCTGGGCGAGAACCTTGACTCGCTTGGGAAAGATTGGGAGAGGTAGCGGATCTGGTGGAAGCGCATCGCTTGTCAGGCTAAATGCGAGGAAACTACTCTCGTGAACGTCGTCAGCCCCCTGGATATGGCAGCACGTCATGGCCGCGATCGCGGAGCTACACGGCCGTGTGGCGAGGAGGCTGGGACGAAGGCTGGGTGCGTGCTGGAGGTGACCAGCTGACACAGGCAAGAACCCCTGAGTGCGAGTATCGCTTGGGGAAAACAATCCTCCGTATGCTCCCGCGCCTGTGAGGGAAACGTCAGGGGGGGACTGACTCCGGGGGAAACATCGAGATGGAATCAGCGACACATCGCCGATAGATCGGCGATAGGCCCTCGCTAGCGACTGCGGACGTTCCTGGGCGGGGTGGGCTATCGGGCCCCTCTCGGCGATGAATGGGCGATTGGGGGCCCATACATCCCCACCTGAGCCTGTATCCCCTCGATCGATTCCCCCGATCAGGGGTCAAAAATCGATCCATGGACCTCTCCTGGGGTGCGTTCCGACCAGAATTTCAACACGAATCCAGCCGTGGCCACTGTGGCGCCCCAGGACGATCAAAAACCTCCAGAAAGCGAACCTCGATCCTCGAATCTCAACCCTACGAGCCCTGTCCCCCCCTCGCCTCAACATCCACCTCAACACCCATCGTCACTACCACCTCGCAGTTCTCATCGCCGCCGTGGCCGCCGCCGTCGTGACCCCTCCCCCTTCCCGGCCCGCCCTGTGCCCCTCTCGCAGCGGAGCTATCCCCCTCCTCGCCCCCCCTCGTCGGCACCCTCCTGGCCACCCCCCCCCTCCGCCCCTCTCGCGGCCGAGCCCATCCCCCCTCGACGTTGCCCGCCGCTCCCGCCCGCCGCCCGCTCCACCCCCCCGGCGCCAGGGTCCGTGTACTCGATCTGCCTGGGCCGGTCCTCACCGCCGCAGCACGGGGCTCGCGGGCAGTGGGGGGGGGCCAAACGATGCTCACACCGCTGCTCCACGGACCTCTCTGCGGGCAGTACTTATATCCATATCCAGAGCGTCTTGGACTTTTCGGAAAGAGGTGCCGCAACGCCGAGGCGCACTGGATATGGATAAAATCAAGCCTCTTGGGGCCAGATTTTTATCCATATCCTGTGCGTCTACGGCTTCTGGGGAAGAGAGCCCAAGACTCCAAGGCGCAGTGGATGTGGATATAATTATTGCCCGCACTCTCCCGGGGTGCGTTCTGACCTGGGCGCAGAGCAGAAACGGGTCCTACGCAAGATGCCACGGCGACCTTCCGCCGCGGCTCCCGCGGGCCGCCAGCGCGGCACGCTGCATTGGCGCGGGCAGCTGACGCGCGCATGCCCGCGCGCGCGACCCCGCTGCCTTGCGCCGCTCACCTCGATCTCGAGGCGAATCCCGCCGCGGAGACCAGGGAAAGGCAGCGGTATCCGCACCGTTCCCTCCTCTGAGGCCGAGGGCGACGAGTTGGGGGGGGGGGGGGGCGGGCGGCGCGCAGAGGAATCTGGAAAGCTTGGTGGCGCGCACGGGGTGGCAGGGCGAAGGGGGTGGCCTTCTGAGAAGTAAGACGAAGCCAGGACCGGGACAACATCTGGGAGCTCTGAACTCCATCGGTCCTGGAAGATGTGTTGTGCGCCGCGGCCATTCCAGAGCGCTCCAGAACACTAACACTCTGGGAGCGTTTCGAAACGCTCCGGAACGTTTCCTCTGAGGGAGCGCGATCCACCGTCGCTGACCTGAAAACTGTCTCTATGGGGGGGTCAGAAACCAGGGGGCCCTTCCCCCCACAACAAAGATCCGCAGAGGGGGAGGTCAGAAACCAGGTCCCCACCCCCAACCCCCCACCCCCTCGGAAGAACCCAGGGGTCGGGACCCTCCCCCCCATCCTGGGACAATTAAAGGGGGCGGTCTGACCCCACCTCCAGGAAAATCGAAGGTGGGGTCCACAACCCTACCACCCCCGAATCGTCTGAACCCCCTCCTTCCAGGAAAATTGATGGGGGGTCCACACACACACACACCGAGTCTTACTTCTGAATATCTGCGAAGGCTGACATCGAGCCAGAACACTCGGCCCCTCGCTGTGGAGATCCGGGTGAAGATAAGATTGTCATTGAGCTCGAGACTAAACATTAGAGTGAGTCTCCTTTCTGGGCCAAGTCGAGCCATAATACCGTAGTGAGTCTCATGTCTAGATATGCGAGGCCTGAAATCGAGCCGAAACCTTCACCGCGCTCCATTTCTGCACCAAACCGGGCCAGAACGCTAGAGTGGGTCTCATTTCTGGATCTGCGAGGGCTAAAATAGAGCCAGAACGCCTGGCCACCCTTGTGGAGATTCCAACGAAAATCAGATTATTAACCACAAAACAGTGCCAGGATACAATAGTGAGTCTCATCGAGCCAGAACATCAGAATGAGTCTTATGCATGTATCTGCGAGGCCGGAAATCTGGCCAAAACACAATAGCGCGCCTCAGTTCTGGACCAAATCGGACCAAAACGCCAGAGCGAGTCTCAGTTCTGGATCTGCGAGGGCTGAAATCGAGCCGGAATGCAATAACAGCGAATCGATTCCCCGGACGACCGCTGGACCGGTGAGACGCCTCCCTCCGGCCTCCCCTGTGGAGATTCTGGTGAAAGGAGGTCGAGCCAGAACACAACAGTGAGACGCATGTCTGGACCAAATCTGAGCAGAACGCCGCCAGGTAGGCGAGACGCCTTCCCCAGGCCTCCCTGAGGAGAGTCTGGTGAAAGGAATCTTTGACCCTGTCAGAAACCTCTAGCGATACGCCATCAGAGAAATACCAATCCATCTCAAAGAGAATCTCGGATTTGGACCTCGAAGCCCCACATGAACTCAAAACGGCTCAACATGGCCTACAGACGGCCCAAGACGGCCCAGGATAGTCCCAAGAGAACCCAAGAGGCCCCAAGATGGCCCCAGAAGGTCCCAAGGGAGCCCCCAAAAGCACCTCCAGAGGCCAACAACACGGCTCCCCTGGCGGTTTTCAGCCATGCTCGCGCCCTCGCCTTCTGCGACATTCGGGGGCCCTTGACGGCCCAAACAGCCTGCGGGATGGCACCAGGACGGCCCCAGAGGCCTCCAGAAGCACCCCGAGACGGCTCAAAATGGCCCCAAGATGGCCCAAAGGGGCCGACCACGCGGCACAAAAGGAACCCAAGAAAACCACAAGGCGGCCCCGAGAGGCCCCCAAGATAGCCTCCGAAGAGGGGCCAGACGGCGTAACCCAACACGTCCAAAGAGGCCCCCAAGAGGCCCCAAAGAAGCCCCCGAGAGGCTCCGAGGGCCCCCCGATGAGCCTCAAAGAGGGCCCCAAGACGCCCCCAAACGGCCCCAAGGAACCACCAGGAGGCCCGCGGAAGTTTGTGCGAATGGGGCGGTGCTGGCATGCTCCTCGGAACTTGAGCTTGGCGCTGCCCTGTGCTGACACGCGGTGAGTGCTCATTGCCCTCGTGGACATTCGCACGCTCGCTCCAGCGGCTGAAGCGGGGGCGGGGGGGAGGCGCATCCCGCCCCGTCGGCACGGTGGAGCAGCGCGGCAGGCGACAGAAACAGACCGCCCAACGCCTGGCCTTCACGTGCTCCGGGCGAGCACCCCGCGAAGCGAGGGGAGTCATCGTCACAGCCATGTGGTCGCCAGCCCCACCCCCGTTGATCTGCATAGAGCCGCCGACCGTCGAGCGGTTGGTTCGTCCTTGGCGTACGTCCAGGCATCCAGGCATACCCTGCGTCAGCGCGGAAGATTGCGTGGGCCACAGTCTTGCCGAATCAACATCAGCCATGAGCACGCAAGAGCACGCCCACACTGGGGAACGATGCCCCAACTCACGAGAACCATACGTGACCATTTCTAAAATCATGCGCACCACTGTCCCAACTTTCGCACAGCACATCCGTGTCGGCATGGTTGCCAGCCGACGTGCATCTGGATGACCCTGCTCGCTCGCGGCAAGCGATTAATGCTTTGCCCATAACGCACACCACAAATCTTGGGATCCCCACAGCTCGACGACGCATTCGCGCGTCGAGAAGAGCGTGTTCGGGCCCTGTACTGGTAAATATGCTGCTTATCTGATGGAAGCATACACGACTGGAAAGACGAGTCTGGTGACAATGTTCCTCGCGTGCCCATAGGCCAACCGGCAATACCACGTAATGTAATATTCGTCGTGTTGAGTGCGCAGTCCTGCATGATTAGGTTGTTGGGGTGGTGCGTGTGGGGGCGATGATGTGGGTGGTGGTGCGAGGTCACACTGTCCAAACGCAACTGCCCATACTGTCGACTTGTATTGGTATGGTCGTGCTTGCCGCGCAGGGTCGCTTTCGTGACAGCATTCGTTCTTCACCGTCAACACGCTTGCTTTCCCCAGCCCCCCCGCGCGAATCCTTGCCAACGGAAGTATGCGGCCCAACACAGCCTTCCACACAACCTCTCGTTGCCATCAAGACAGACGCAACTGCTCGCCATCCATGACGAAGTGCAAAGCACCATGAAACTGGTCGAGACAGAACCGCTACGGAGCAGCAGCGAAGGTCGCATGTACGCTGCGGCTCCCGTCCTGCTGGGAAATGATACCCACAATTGACGTGCTAGCTGTCGTTCCCAGCTCTCCTCTGGTTGGGTACTCGTTTTGGGAGTAGACCCCGGCTGCTCCTCCTCCCCGCCTCTCCTCCTCCTCGCTCCTCCCCGCCCTCCCTCCTCCTTGCACTACTTCCTGCTGCCCCCCCCCGCACGCTCCCAGCAGGCCCCTGGCACGTCTCTGATGGGGTGCAGCGGAGGTCGGGTTTTATGGGGATCCAGGTCAGTCACCCGCGGCCCCCCATACACCATTGGCGGCGCCTTCGGCGACAGAACCGTTTCGACCCAGCGGGCACAGTTAGTTTCGGTTTATGCTTATGTGGTCGCCTGGCCCCCGAGATGTGTGGGACTAACTGGCTGGAACCTGGGGAAACTCGGAGGCAACATGTTCCACAATTTTCAGGGCTCACGCACCCACGTTTCCCAAAAAGCAGCGCGTAGCTTTCGGGCGAGCGACATCCGAAAATTGCGGAAAATGCAACAGACGTCCTGCAGGCTCCAGCCGATGAGTCCCACCCGTCGGCTGGGTCCCGATGGTCGTTGCGTCAGTCGTCATGGTCACTACTGTCGTCGTCATCACTGTTGCCGTTCCAGCAAGCCAAAACCATGAACATGACACTTGTTCATGTTTGTTTGTGAAGCAGTGCGCTTTTCATTGAATTCCATTGGTTGTCATGCAAAGCTGCAGGGTGTTCCGAGAAGGTCCCTGAGACTCTCCACCCTCGACGTGTTGGAGATACTCTTCGTGAGGCCGCCCCCACAGCGATTCGACCTCGCCGTGTAAGAATCCAAGGGCACCGAAGCGCACCAGAGTCTTTCCAGCCCAGCACCAAGATCGGGTCTAGGTTACGAGACGCTATGATAGGACATGTACTCACAACGCTACCGCAGGCATCCAATAACCGCCTTGTGAATGACATGGGACCCCGCGACCATGAGGGAGTTAGAGTCATATAGTTGCCCAAAGACGCATTGGCATGAGACGGCCTTAACGAGGGGGAACTCTAGGCTCTGGCCGCATGTGAATCCACAAGCACAGGTCCACCCTTCGCGGGACTCGGACTGCGCGACATCCGAAAGGAAACCAACGGGTTTTGCTGCCCAAATCTGCTCGGGGACCACCCGATGGCTGGGACCAAACGTATGGAATCACGAGAGCTATCGGGCACTCTTCCGCAACCGCGGAGTCTCCGCGCCCCAAACCGCCCCGCGCGCGCGCGAAGACCACTCGTGGGAGCCGTGGGTGCCTGACCCCCGCTTCCGCGCGGACGAACATGCCGGAGGAAGCCTCCCGTGAGCCAGCCCGCTTGAGCCAGAATGCCTA